CCAGGGGGAGGGGCTGCACCTGCTGTGGGGGCAGGATTGGTGCACCCCTCCCCCCCCCCCCCCCCCCCCTCCCCCCTCCCCTCCCCCCTTCCCCCTCCCCCTCCCCCCTCCCCCCCCCCTCCCCTCTCCCCTCCCCCTCCCCTCCCCTCCCCCTCCCCTCCCCCCCCCCCCCCCTCCCCTCCCCCTCCCCCTGGGCGCGCCGCAGGCAAGACCGACGCCGACCTCCGACGTTCGCGGGGCCCGGCGGGTGCCGACCGGCAGCGAGCCGATCCGCCTGCGCTGCGTGGTGGCTGAGTGGCCACGGCAATGTGCCCCCCGCTCAGCCTGGCCCGCCCGAGATGGGTGCGGAAAAGAGGGGCACAGTGCCCGAGAGCACGTGGTGCTGACCAGACTGGCAGCGGCTGCTCCTGGTCTCAAGTGGGCAACGAGCGCGGCGACACCAGCAACGGGTCCTGCACAGGATGGGCAGGAACGGCAGTCAGTCTTCGCCCCCTATCTTTTCCGAAAACAGATCGTATAGATCAATCCCATCATTCTTCTCAACGCCAGAGGTCCGCCGATCCACGCCCGTGATGCCTCCTCGCCTGCCGCATCTTAGGACCTGCAAGGCTCCGCCGCCGCCATCAGCCCAGCGGGGCCGCAGCAATGCCAGGGCCAGGCTCGAGGTCGGCGAGCAAGTCCGCCTCGAAGACGGCCAGGCCTGCCTCGCGGTAGCTCTGGGCCAAGCTTGGCCTGAATGCCGCGGCGCTTGGGTGCAGCAAGATGCCATGAAGCCTGAGACGCACAGCGTGGGCAGCAGCTGCGACATGGTCGAAACCCGCCTCGTCCTCCACGATGGCAAGCACCTCCGCGGCAGGCAGCGCAGGGTCCTTGCCAAGCTCGCCCACACAGGGGAAGTAGGCCCCGCTGCTGGAGCTGACGGTGAAGACAGTTTTGCCGCAATCCATGAGGGTATCTACGACGTCTTCAATTTCGTCGGGATCACCGACCACTGCCCACACCCGGAGGGAAAGCAGCCCCTGAAGCGTGGGCCGGAGGCACGGCGCTGGCTCCTGCTCCTTCGGCAGCGCGGAAGGCGGCGCGGCCGGTGCGGCTGGCGCGGCCGGCGCCGACGCTGGGCTCGGTGGTTCACAGATGGGGTCCTGAGGGATGGGGTCCAAAGGAAACGAAGAGATCCGAGGGTGGTTGTACATCAATTTGAAGCACCTCGTCCTTAGGACCCCATCCTCAGGACCCCATCTTTGAACCACCGATGGGCCTTCCCTGTCGGCGGCGAAAATTCGAGACATCAGGTCCAAGCCGTCGTCGACGGGAGGCTGCTCTCTCTGGCGCGGCGCCGGCCGTGGTTCAGCCTCCGGCGGCACCGCGGGGGGCGACGCAGACGCTGCTCCCCGCGAGGCCGGCGCGGAGGGCACTGCTGGCGCGGTAGGCGCCACCGGCAGCGGCTCCGCCGTCGCGGGGCCGCCCCTGTCGGCGGCGAGGATCCGAGACATCAGGTCCAGGCCACCATCATCCTCAGAAGGCTGCTCCCGCTTCGGCAGCAGCTCGTCCAGATCACCCTCGTACCCCGCCGCGGCAGCCTCGCGCGAGCGCTCCGTGCTCGCCGGGGCCGCGGCCGCGACGCGCGCCGGCGCCCCCGCCTGTGGAAGGCCAGCGGCCGCGGCGGGCCGGAGCTCGGGCGGGCCGCCCGTCGAGCTCGGCCGCGCCGCGGCCGCGCCTGCCGCGGGGGGGCGCTGCTGCCTGGCGGACTCTGGCGGGAGGCCTTTGGCTGGCGCGGCTGCCCCGGGCGCCGCCGGCGCGCCGCGCGTCGCGGCCCCCTCGGCGGGGCCGCCGCGGGCCCGCCGGCGGCGGCGCTGGCTGCCTGCGCCGCCGGCGGTGCCGCCTTCGGCGCGGCGCGTTTCGGGGCCGCCACGGGCCTGCCGGCAGCGGTGCTGGCCTTCGGCGCCGCCTCCGCGGGCTGTGCGCTCGCGCGGGTGGCTGCTGGCAGCGGGGCCGGGCTGCACACTGGCCTGGCGCCGCGGATATCGTCGGCCTTCTCCAGGTTTGCCGGCTTGAGTGCCAGCACAAGCGCTGTGTTGGGAGCGTCGGGGATGAAAACGCGGTACCGCTCGGTCTCGCGCAAGAACTCGTCGGCAAAGGCCAGGCGCCCGTTCAGCTCCGGCTTGGACTCGAGCCCCTTGATTCTGACGACCTCCCCCCTCAGCTTCGTCCTCAGAACGCAGAGCGAGGCCTCCTTGAGCGCGACGTCCGTCTCGACGCCACCCTCGATGAGCCGCACCAAGTACCGCCCCTGCTCGGAGTCGCGCCCGACGCATACCCCGCACCGCCCGTTGAGCTCGGGCCTCTTCTCGAGACCTTGCAGGCGCACGGTTTGGCCGAGGACGTCTGGGTCCATGCCCTGCGTCTTTTCCGGGTCCCGCTCCATGCGGTTCCACGAGACCTCCTTGAAGAAGTCCGACACCAACGTCGTCACGATGGCCCCAGGGTCGTCTGGGTTGAGCATGCGCACCAGGATGTCCTTCTTACGGAACTCATTGGTGATCTTCTTCGCCACCTGCTCGTTTATCTTCCCCTCAGCGTCGCGCTGCGTCTGCGTACAAACTACGAAGAACGGGATGCCGTGGACCGCCATCGCGACGCAGAGCTTGCAGTAGATGTCTGTCAGCGGGTACCTGTCTGAGAAGAGCATGAACACGCAGTCGATATACAGCAGCCCCAACTCCCTGATGTAGTCCTCGCAATGCTGCTTGAACATGACCTCCGGCAACTCCCACAGGACCATCTTGTGTAGCTCCGAATCGAAGAAGTAGTGCGGAATCGCCTCGCGCCCGGGGCCAAGACGGGAGGGGGGCCCGCGGAAGGTGGAGGCGATCTTGGGCAGGAAGTTTGTGAACTGCTTCTTGCAGTCGCTGCTCGGGCCCACTAGCGCCAGGTGCATCTTGCAGCCCTCCCAGCAAAAGCTCGGCCGGGGGTACATCTTGCACTTCCTCGAGCCGATGGACATGTCGCACTGCGGCGCGTGCCTCGGCAGCGTCACCTCCAGGTTCTGCGCGTCCAGGTAGGACACCAGGGAGGGCGAGTAGAAGTCATCCGCCAGCGACGGCATGGTCCAGCCCATGCCCTCCAAGAGCTGGCTGCACTTGGTGCTCTGCCCGCCCATTGGCTGCAAGAGGCAGGAGGGGCGCCCGTTCCCCTCCCACCGGGAAATGAGTATCGTTTCACCGATCCCCATCCCCAGCGGCGTGGCCTGGGCCCCACTGGCCGATTTACCCCCATCGATGGAGATGTAGGCCGTTCCCTTCGGGTTTTCGAGGGGTGCATGTAATTTGGTGGGGGTCTCGAAAGGGATGAGGATGGGGATGGGGGTCGGTTCAAGGATACCGAGGAAACCCAGACCCCCGACGCCGTTCTTTTCTCGCAGCGTCAACCCCCAGTCGGCGGTGGACAAACCTCCCTTTAGTAGACCTCCCCTTAGTGAAAACGGCCCGGGACCGAAATCGACGGACCTGGACCCGCAAAATGACGGCCGCGACGCCCTCTCGCGAACCGAAAACGACCAATTCCTTAATCGACGTGTCAGGGTAGGAGGTCTGTCCACCCCCGACCCAGAAATCTGGACCCCGTCCCCGGGGCCGGCTTCTCCTCTGGAGTCGTCTCTGACGGTCCTGGGGGCCCGGCAGGGGCCCCCGGAATCCGAACTATAGCGAGTTTGAGAACCCGGCTGTCGTGTTCTTTTTCACGACGCGAGGGGTCTGGGAGTTGCTTCGTTTGATTTCCCCACCTCTCTCCCTCTCAACGCCGACCTCCCCTCTCTCGACGCCGACGCGTTTTTTTGTCACAGCGCGAGGGGGTCCGGGTGTTGGTTCGATGGTTTCCTCACCTCTCCCCCTCAACGTCGACCTCCCCTCTCTCGACGCGGAAGCGTTTTTTTTTCACAACGCGAGGGGTCTGGGAGTTGCTTCGTTTGATTTCCCCACCTCTCCCCCTCAACGCCGACCTCCCCTCTCTCGACGCCGACGCGTTTTTTTGTCACAGCGCGAGGGGGTCCGGGTGTTGGTTCGATGGTTTCCTCAACTCTCCCCCTCAACGTCGACCTCCCCTCTCTCGACGGGGACGTGCTTCTGTCACGCCGACCTCCCCTCTCTCGACGCCGACGTGCTTTTTTGTCACAACGCGAGGGGGTCCCTGTGTTGGCTCGTTTGTTTTCCCCACCTCCCCCCCTCAACGCCGACCTCTTCTCGCTCGACGCCGACGTGTTTTTTTACAACGCGAGGAGGTCTGGGATCCTCGTTCCCCGGGCGGAGGAGCTCACGCTCCCCAGGCGGTCCTCTACTCCATTGTGGCACCCTGGGCGCCCCTGACCTCCCAGAGTGATGGAAAAGTGCACTCCAGACCTACGTTCGACCCGTATCATAAGGATGCAAGGGTCTTGGAGGGCCGTGTTGGCGTTTCTCGAACGTGGTTGGCCAGCGAAAGTCGCTGAGGATGGGCCGAAGGGGCAAGGATGCAAGGGTACCCTTGGGAAAGTTGCCTATCGTTGCCTATCCTTATTATGCGGGTTGACTGTGTATAGTCCAAGCTGGGCTGCCTAAATAACCTCGACAGGAATTGACTTGCCGGGGTCCTGATGATATTTTTAGGTCGGTCCTCCTACAGGCGGATTTGGAAGAACAATAACAATAATCAGCAACATAGCAAATCTAATCAACAATTGTTAATCAAATCGTCCCATGACTATATGTTTAAACTATTCTTGGATATTCCCCCTCTAGGCCTGTAGGGGGACTTGCCCGACTTCATGCTATCTCTTGGCCCTCCTGGGCGGTCAGGGGCCACCCTCCCAGCGGCCCGGTCGCCCGGCGCGGGCGGCGCGACCCAGCGGGCAGGGAGCGGGCCCCTCTTGCCGAAACGGCTCGGCGCCGCGCGCAGGGCGGGAGGTTGTTCGCCAGTTTCGGCCTCCGGGGGCCCTGACCGGGCCTCGGGACCGTCAACAAAACGACTCAGGATGAAAGGCCAGTCCTGGGGGAGGGGTCCAGACCTGTGGGGGTCGACGTTGTGACAAAAGAGCGTCGGGGGTCTCGGAAGGAGGCTGCTTCTTGGAGTTCCCGTTGCATCCATATACAAGGCCTGGGCCTTCTAAGGAGCAGGGGTGCTTCTAAGACGCCTTCCCCCCTCCCTCTCCTTTGTGCGTGGCCGAACGGCTGCACATTGTTCGCTTTCTAAGTCTGCTTTGTTCTGAGGCTGTTCACAGCCAGCGAATAATATAGCATGAATATCAGCCAGCGTGGACCCCAAACAATGACTTCTTGCAAGCTATGCGGTGCATCTGGGTGGTGCAATCAATGTGGTGAAATCCAGTTGGTGGAATGCATGTGGTGTAATCTACGTGGTTCAAAGCGTTGCAATGCAATGCAAAGCAACGCAATGCGATGACAATGGAGTGCAATGCGATTGCAATGCAAATCAAAGCAACACGAGTTCAAAGCAATGCAAAGCAATTCACAGCAATGCAGAACAATCCAATGCAATGGACAATGGTGCGAAACACTGCAAACCAATGCACATTAATATAATGCAATGCAAAGCAATGCAACGCGACGCAATACAGAGCAATGAAACCAATGCACATCGATGCACATCAATGCACATCAATGCAACGAAACGTAAGGCAATGCAAAGCAAATATGCAAAGCAAAGCGAAGCAATGCAAAGCAAAGCCATGTAAAGCAATGCAAAGCAAGGCACAGCATGCAAAACAATAAACTGCAACGCAATGCAAAGCAATCCACAGCGACGCAGATCCATGGAAAACAATGCACACCAATGCAACGCAGTGCAAACCAATGCAATGCAAGGAACAATGCAAACCAATGCGACGCAAAGCAACATGAAGCAGTGCAAAGCAACACAGAGCAGTGCAAAGCAACGCAACGCACTGCAACGCAACGCGGTGATGCGTGGCGGCGAGCCGGCCGGACCGTTACCGGGGCCCAGCGGCGACGGGCGGGGGCTGAGCCGGCCGAACCGCCCCTGGGGTGCGAAGCGCAGGCGCTTCCATGCGGCCCCCGGCGGGCGGCCTGGCCGAAGCGGGGGGAGCAGCAGAACGCCGCCAGAAGGAGGGCGCGAGGGCGCGACGTATGGTGCGCTGGGAGCCCTGGGCGGAGCACACGAGAGAGTATCGCGGCCCAGCGAGCACACACCTCGTCTGCTTTCACAGCTCTGGGGATGTACATCAAAACAAAAAGAGGAACTGCGCAATGAATGGGTAATTCCATGTCTCTGCTTTGGGAGTCCCGGGGAAGGGAAGACAGCACGAGACAACATCACGATATAAGCAATTATACAATTTCTTTACCCAGAGAGCCAAAAATATTGTAAAACACAGGCAAGCACGATAACACAATGAGGTGCGTACTCTGTCTGCGTTGAGCGCCGTGGGGGAGGTAAGACACGATAAAACACGATGGCACAATGGATTCTATACACGACACAACGAATTATATGATGTCTCACAAGAGAAAGCCCCAGGGAAGGCAAAGAACGAGGAAACACCATGACAAAAAGTATTGTATACTTTCTCTGCCCAGAGAGCCCTGGGGATTGTAAAACATGGACAGAATTGCGGCACAATGTGTTGCATGCCATTTCTGCCTCGAGAGTCTCAGGAAGGTAAAACTAAAGAAACTCCACGGCACGATGGATGGGATGCATGGCGCAGTAAATTACGCAGATAATTTGCAGAGCCCGGGGAGAGCACAACACGAGGCGACACCATGCGACAATGAACTTTACAATTTCTCGACCTCGCGGAAGGCAAACCACGAGAGTAAACACACGCCACCATAATATATATATATATATATACATATGTATATATAGATGTACATGTATATATATATATATATATAAAAACATATGTATGCACATATGTGTATAAATATGTATATGTATATGTATATGTATACGTATATGTATATGTATGCTTGTATGTATGTATGCACGTATGTATGTATGTATGGATGTATATGTATATGTATATATATATATATATGTATGTATGTATATATATATATATATATATATATATGCGTTGAGGCTCCCCGGAGGATACACTACGAGAGGACATGACACTCAGCCTTGACGGCCTCGGGGAAGGTTAAACACACAAGAGACAACGACATATGTCGTTTCTTTAGCTCGGACGCGCCAGGGAGGGGAACACACGGGAAAACCTGATACGTAATGAATTATGTAATTTCTCTGCTATGAGGGCTGCAGGGAACGTAATCCACAAGGAAACACCACACCGCGATTAATTATAAACCCACCAGTCCTTTGGCCGACAAATGGTCTAAGGAGGGTCTCTTTCCGCTTCCACAACCCCTCTTCCCTTCGGGGAGGGGAACCCTCCCCATCCCCTCCCTGAAGTTTTTTTGGAGGGAGTCGCGACGAGTTGAAGCTTCCTTTCTCGGCCCCTGGGAAGGCCAATTTCTGATACCCCTCACGAAGATCGTGGCCCCCGGAGGGGGGGGGCGGAGATAAGGGAACCCCGTGTTTAGATCGACCGCCTCCAAGATGGCCCCAAGATGCCCTCAAAGGCTCCCAAGAGGCCCCCAAAAAGGGCCCAGAGAACGCCCCAAGACGCCCCCAAAGGCCTCCAAAAGGCACCCGGGAGGCCTCCAAGAGGCGCCCGAACGGCCTCAGAGAGTCCAGTATGACCTCCAAGATGGCCCAGATAGCCCAAGCTGGTTCAAGATGGCTCCCAAGATGCTCCAAACGGCCCCAAGACGGCTCCAAGACGGCTCGGGATGGCCACGGAGCCTCCCAAGCCTCATTCGCTGTTTGACTATGCGTGCCTCTTCCTCTCTCCCCCCGTCAGCTTTCATGGGTATCGCTTCTGGATGGGCGGGTGGGGATTTTTTGATCGCGAGCGCAAGCGGAAGGGCCGCGCGCCGTCCAAAGCTACAGCTAACAAGCAAGAGCCTGAATTGCACACGGGAGGAAGAAAAAAAAAGACAACAAGAGAGCAGCGGGAGGTGAGACTAGTCGGGGCGGGCCGCGCGGCGCTCACGGAGGAGGTGCCATCGGCAGCGCTGGTGGGGATACTTTTTTCGTCGCGGCCGCAGGCGAGCTCGCCAGCAGCGTCAGAGGTCGGGCGGGCTGCTGGTGGGGATACTTTTTTTGGTCAGCGGCCCCGAGACTACGGTCAGGGAGCGGAGGCGGCGTCCGGGCCACGGGCGAGGCTAATTTGCAAGACATTCCGCCGCCAGCCAGAGCCGGGGGACAGACAGCTCGCACCTGCACGTGCACTGAACAAAATGACCAGAACTCGAGAGGCAGACACACGGAGGCGCGGAAGCCCTAACCACAGTGGGCAGGCCGCCGTGCCCGGAGAAACTGAGACTGCCCCGAAGTGAATCGCCAATGCGGCGCCAGACTTCCGCGGCCGACCTGCACAAGCCGAGCGGCTGAGCGGTCGGGACCAGAAAACAGTGCGCGACAGCTGGGAGGGGCCGAAGGCTGTACAGGCGTTGTAGGCTGAACCACTCAGCGCTCAGTCCTCAGTGATCTGGTGGGGATACGCGAAGCGTCAAGAATATCTCTTCTGCCTTGAGGGCCTCTTGGGGGGAGTCAAACACGAGAAAGCCCGACGACCCATCGCACTTCCACATGAATGAATAAACAAAACGTTAACTCAAGCTTGAAGAGAAGGTAGTCTGAACGGACTGGAATAACCTGGTGTCCTGTCAGGGATGTTTTGTTCACGCTTCGTTGGCAATAATGAAATGGCAATCCACCCCTAATAATGAAAGGGGCGGTGCTCACTTCTACTGATATTCGATATTCCTGTATCAGGTCACTTAGGCTTTAGGGGCTCTGAATGATGAGATGGCTCCTGTAGTATCGGCCAGATGCCATCTGAATTTCTGGAAACAGCTTGAAGCGATTCTCACATTGTATTCCCTGATTGTGGGGGCGACGCCACAACATGCAAAATAATCATCCCAGAAGTCACCCAACAATTACACCTGAGAAGACCCCAGTCAGTGGATTATTGAAAACTGATGCTATGGATCTTGAGATCGATCGTGAGATCGATAACGAGTTCGATAGTGTCATCGATAGTGAGGACGATTGCAAGGTCGATCGTGAGACCGATAATGAAATCGATTCAATGAGATCGATAGTGAGATCGATCGCGAGATCGCTCATGCGATCTCTAGTGAGATCGATTGTGAGATTCATAATGAGAACGATTGTGAGATCGATGGTGAGATCGATGGAGAAGTGGGTCATGAGATCGATGGTGAGACCGATCGATGAGAAGATCGACCAGGAACCCGGGAACCCGGGGACCTCGCCGCCCTCCGAAATCGGCCCGGGAACCGGGAACCTGGGAACCCGGGAACCCGGAACCGGGAACCCGGGAACCCACGTGCGACCAAAATCGGCGGGAAACTTTCGCCAACTCTAGCAACATCCGCGAGGACCCCTTCAGTGCAAGCACTGGTTGGGGAATCTTGAGATCGATTGTGAGATCGATAATGAGATCGATAGTGGAATCGATAGGGGACGGTTGTAAGGTCGATCGGGAGACCGAGAGTGAAATCGATTCAATGAGATCGATAGGGAGATCGATCGCGTGCGATCTCTAGTGAGATCGCTTGCGAGATCGATTGCGAGATCGATTGTGAGATCGATGGTGAGATCGATGGTGAGATCGATAAGGAAGTGGGTCATGAGATCGATGGTGAGACGGATCGATGAGAAGATCGACCAGGAACCCGGGAACCCGGGGACCTCGCCGCCCTCCGAAATCGGCCCGGGAACCGGGAACCTGGGAACCCGGGAACCCGGAACCGGGAACCCGGGAACCCAGCGTGCGACCAAAATCGGCGGGAAACTTTCGCCAACTCTAGCAAAATCCGCGAGGACCCCTTCAGTGCAAGCACTGGTTGGGGAATCTTGAGATCGATTGTGAGATCGATAATGAGATCGATAGTTAGTGGAATCGATAGGGGACGGTTGTAAGGTCGATCGGGAGACCGAGAGTGAAATCGATTCAATGAGATCGTTAGGGAGATCGATCGCGTGCGATCTCTAGTGAGATCGCTTGCGAGATCGATTGCGAGATCGATTGTGAGATCGATGGTGAGATCGATAGAGAGGTGGGAAATGAGATCGATGCAGAAAATCGGCCAAGAACCCAGGAACCCGGGAACCTCGCCGCCCACCGGAATCGGCCTGGGAACCGGGAACCCGGGAACCCAGAACCGGGAACCCAGCGTGCGACCAAAATCGGCGAGGTACTTTCGCCAACTCTAGCAACATCCGCGAGGACCCCTCCAGTGCAAGCACTGGTTGGGGAATCATCCAATAATCTGAACTGTAATCTGGTAGATAACCCTCTGGAACATTCTCATTCAATTGCTTGTGTAGACAAAGCATTCCGTTTTCCTTGAGGCGGCACAACCACCAGCAAGCCATACCAGGGCCGTAGGGACTTCAGGGCCTTCCTTCGGGCCCTTGGCCCTTGGGCCTTAGGGACCTGTCTGGGCCTCCCTGGACCTCCTCGACCTTCCTGGATATGTACCCCTGGAGAAATTTCGTGCAGAATCTCTGAGCCTCGTTTTGAAGCCTGCTAAAACCTGGACGCAGAGAAATACAAATGCCGACTGCGTCCTTTTTCATGCCGGTACGTGGTTGCTTCAGCCTTGAGCAACTGGGGACGAAATTCAACTTCATAAACTTGCAGCAGCTTCTCTCGACGTCGATCAACACAGCATGGCCGAAGCGCGCCTCGCTACAAACTGTCAACCACCAAATCGGCGAACGGGCGGCACCTGTCGACGAGGAGAGCGTTGCGCAAATCGTTCGCATCCGTCCTCCGTGCAGCTCCCTCCTCGGGGGTCGATGCGCCAAACATCGTAGTTTTTGCATCGGTCCATGTCTCAAGGTGGCGTGCAATGAGGCGACGACGCTGCTCAGCCACGCCACCAGAAGGTTCGACAAACCACCTCTCGTCAAACAAATCAAGCAACGGTTTCCACCTGCTGATCTCTTCAATTGGCGAACAGGGAAAACCATCATCGTCACGACAGACTGACAAGCGTTCCTCACATGACAGATCTAATGCACCGAGCAACAAGTAATTACCCTCGACAAACACAATTCGATGTGTGGGGTCAAGACGTACACCGTCAGGAACAGGGTCGCTAATAACACGGTCATATCTTGGTAACGTTCTGGAAGAATCTTGCTTCGCGAGCAGGAGTTCTTTGAAGCATTGCTCCGCATCAAATGTCCAAGGCGCTCCACGGCGTGGCATATACTTCGATGCCTCTGGCGGGTCTAAGGCAGCGAGCTCAGACTTAGAGAAATGAAAGCCGTCCATCGGAAGCACAACCGCACTGACACCATGGTTTTCTTGGCAAAGAGCTGCAACTGCTTCTGCCAACGTTGACTTCCCCGCTCCTGGGCCACCGGCGATGGCAATCCAATGTGACGTCTTCGACTGCCGCGCACTATCCGTTGCACGTCGTGCGAGCCTAGCATACGTCGCCCCCATATTTATGTCAGGAGGGATGGCGACGGCAAATGGTATGGTCATCGTAGTTAAGGCGATCGTAAGCACGCATCCCAAACATGCAAGTTTCACCAATCTCGTTGAACAACTAACCATTGTGAGCTTGAGCTCATATGGCTACCGGCACTCACACACACACGTGAAGCAGGGGAAGGGGGTTTTGGGGAAGGATGGGGGGCGAGTCCAAAGCTGGCTATTGGTGGAATGTTTGGTGGTCGGACTTCGACGCGGGCCCCTTGAAACGTTTCCCCAACCCCCAGGCTCCCCCTGCTCATGCCCTGAGACCCCAACCCCGGGCCAGTCCAGCAATTGGAATTAAAATCCAGAAGTCTTACGATGTCGAGAATGCAGAGGACATATATTGTGCTCATGAGGCCGATTTGAAGACCATTGATCTGCAGGGTCCAACGTGCTAGCGCAACTATAGCGTGGGCAGCATGCGGGCTGGCAAGCTGGAAAACAAATCCACAATGGGCCCGAAATTTGGACAGCAATCTATCTACCTGCCTGCCTGCCTGCCTACCCACCCTGCAGGGGATGGTAAAACAAGAGAAAACACCAAGACGCTATGAATCCGCCGGCCCCCTTGCGGGGCCACCAGGCTGCGAGGATGATGATTGCAGCTCCCTGTTTCAGTTGCAGTTTCCAGTTTCCACTTCTGCAGTCCTGCTTTCTGCTTCCTTACTGTAAATTGTTGCTGTCCGCGCGAGGGGTGGGAGCCCCAAACAAGTTTTTTTCGGGTTCTCAGAATTCGTAGGGGGGCGTGGGGCACGTACAAATACATCATCTCCGCGCTCTCGTGACGCCATATTCGCGTCCCCGATGCCATAAACCCTAACAAATTATACAATATTCGCGTCCCCGAAGCCACAAACCCTCGTACATTACACCGTCCTCTCGTCCCCGAGGCCACAAACCCTAGCAAATTACACAATGTTCGCGTCCCCGAGGCCATTCACCCTAGTAATTTACATAGGATTTGCGCCCCCGATGCCATACACCTTTTGTAAATTATGCAATACTTGCGTCCCCAAGGCCACAGACCCTAGTAACTAACATTATTTTCGCGTCCCCGAAGCCGTACACTATAGTAAATTACGTAATGTTCGCGCCACCGAAGCCATACACCTCTGTAAATTAATATTGGCCCTCGCGTGAAGTCCCGACATTGCTTCACGTCAGCGTCAGACATCCCAGCACAGCGCTGGCAAGTCCCATTCTAAGAGAGGGGGGCCGGCGGCATGGGGGCGAAGCCCTTACGGATCATATAATGCCGCTGCCTTCAAAGCCCTGGGAAGCTGGCCGGCCAGAACAGAACGCAAGGTTTCTCTTCCTCCGCTTCTGCCCCTTCTCCTCGCAGTCCTCCTCGTGCTCCCCCTCGCGCTGCCCCCTTGCACTCCTCTGCTTTCCTTGGCCGCTGCCCACGAATTAATCCAGTAAGAAACAACTGCGTAGTTATGTCTTTACTATCGCTTCTGTACGAGTATTACATGTCTGGCTTCTCCGACTTGCACCCTCCTCCATTTCTCTTTGTTCCTCCACCTCCTCCTCCTCCTCCTCCTCCTCCTCCTCCTCCTCCTCTCTCTTACCCCGAACTCCGATCGCTTATCCGAGCATGTGTCATTGCTAATGCTGCTCACTTCTACCTGCGCGATGCAATATCAATACACACGTTTCATTCACGAGTCGGCTGCAGGGCCTCCTCCTGAGATGAAGAAGACGTGAGCAATGTGTACGGATTCCACTCAATCTGGCCTCGGCCTGGGCGGCTTGAGCAAAACTACGACATACCATAACAAGCACGTGTGGCACGCTCGATGCTGTCAACACGCCTCAGTCGCCAGGTGCCCCCCTCGCTGCGGCGTGGAGTAATGCTCCAGTGCTGTCTTGCTGTGCCTCCCCAGACGGCTACGCGAGGTAGCCCCGAAGGAGCCACAACACGTGGTCAAGACACCCTCGGACGCAAAGGATAATCCCAGAGTGCCCCCCCCTTCCCGGGAGGTACCAACAGGCGCCCAAGGGACCCGAAGAGGCCTTCAGAGAGGCCCCGAATGTGCCTTGGTAGCTTTTCGCGGAGGCCAGACGTATAGAACAAGCGGCGGCATCCCTTGCGATGTTCCTCACACCGTTGTGTGCACAAAAGGCGCCGCAAGGCGCACTCGTAACCTCGCCAGAGACCCCGCAAGCGGTCCCCAAGAGCCCCAAACCAGCCGCAAAACAGCCCCGAACACATGGTTCCAGGACGGCCAGCGACCGCTCGAGACTGCTCCAAGATGGCCCTGGACTGGCCCAAGGCAACTCCAGGACCAGCGCTGGACGGCCTCAGGTCCCGCCAAGATGGCCCGAAAATCTAGCAGGCTTCCAGGAAACCTGAATAATATAATAATAACGGTGCAATGATGCGGTTGGCTCTGGATGCGTTCCAATGAGTTCTGGAGTATCTGGCAGCCCTCGTTTCTAAAGCCCGTGAGGAACAATAGGAGCATCTTGGAGCGGACAATTCTCATTACTATTTTAGAGGGCAGAAAATCCACCCCTCTCAGAATCACCCCGACAAACGAAGCTGTTTAGTAAACGGGCCCTGGGAAGGAATCGAACAGGGCGGGGCTGTTTAGTAAACGCCCAAGGCCGTTTCTAAACGCCAATTGTCGGGTCTGGGTGTTTTTTCCTCTCTTGATATTTGCTCCTCTGAAAGAAGCTTCCGGGGAACTTTTCAGCACTCTCCTGGGAAGGCTTTAAGCCCCCGATGCTGCGGCCGTCTGGGCCATGGGACAGTTCGCAACCACATGCTAAGACCTTCTTTCCACGGGGGAAGCGAGCTGTTCCATGCCACGGTCCTCTGTGATCACGACCGGACCCCTGGACCCCATCTTTCCACGTCACTTTTCAAGCCAGCTCGATCTGTGAGGTTCCCGGGGCCCGGAACAGGGGCGGAAACGCCCTTTGTGCAAGCAGTCCAAGAAGCTAGGATCTCACGGTAGCTCTAGCGCTCTCTCTCTCTCTCTCTCTCTCTCTCTCTTATTCGCAAAATAACTCCGCCGGCCTCCTTCAAGTCGATTCCGGGGGTAAGCCTCTAAAAGAGAACCCTGGCCCCCCGCCCTTTCCGGGAAAAATCAGAAAACTAGGATCTCAGGGCAGCTCTAGCTCTCTCTCTCTCTCTCTCTCTTTCTTTCCCCTTCCCTCCCGGAGCCCCGGACCCCATCTTTCTACGTCATTTTTCGAGCCGGATCGATATGTGAGGTTCCTGGGGCCCGAAACAGGGGCGGAAACGCCCTTTGTGCAAACAGTCCAGAAAGCCAGGATCTCAGGGTAGCTCTCTCTCTCTCTCTCTCTCTTTCTTTCCCCTTCCCTCTAGCTCTAGCTCTAGCTCTAGCTCTAGCTCTAGCTCTAGCCCTAGCTCTAGCTCTCTCTCTCTCTCTCTCTCTCTCCCTTTCCCCTTCCCTCCCTCTCACGCGCTCCGCGCCCGCCCTCCTCCGCGGTCCCCCGCCTCCCCTTGCCACCGTTCGGGCGTCCATCCCCCATGCATGTTTCGGCTTCGTGCGTGCTTCTTTTTGGCTCGATGACCGAGGATGCTCCCCGATGGTCCTCGCCGAGAAAAAACCCAGACCCCCGACGTCGTGATTTTTTGTTGCAACGTCGACCCCCAGAGGTCTGGACCCCTCAAAATCCCAGACCCCCGACGTCGTGATTCTTTTGCAACGTCGACCCCCAGAGGCCTGGACCCCTCCCCTGGAACCGGCTCTTCATCCTGATTCGCTTTTTGACAGTCCGGGGGCCCGGTTCGGGCCCCGGGCGGCCGAAAACAATAAAAAAACCTCCCGTCGTTTTTTCTCTTACTCGTTTGCTTAAAGGGCCGGGCAGTGGAAACCGCCCCAGGCGGTTCCCCCGGTCCCCTGGGAGCGGTTCCCCCAGTTGCGCTCCCTGGGTGCCAAGCAAAAGCAAAAGCAAAGGCAAAAGTGAAGGCACAAGCGAAGGCAACGCAAAAGCATAGCATAGCATAGCGCAGGATAGCATAGCGCAGCATAGCATAGCATAGCATAGCCTAGCCTAGCCCAGGCAAGCATAGCATTGCGCAGCATAGCATAGCATAGCATAGCAGAGCAGAGCAGAGCATAGCGCAGCACAGCATCCACTACTGCTGCTCCTAGAGGCTCCAACTCCTAGGTAGGGTCGCACTGGGATATAATATGTTTGTTTTTGTTTGTTGTTGTTGTTGTTGTCGTTGTTGTTGTTGTTGTTGTTGTTGTTGTTGTTGTTGTTGAATTATTACTTCTAAAGAATAATTATTGTTGGGCCCCCTGGTGCACGCCCCCCTCGCCGCGCCTAGGCCGCAGCCACATTTTCATCATTTTCGTGAGGAAGTCTCAGGCAAAACGGGGGAGTCCGGATCCGGTTGTTTTGTTGACGCCCGCTTTCCCTGTCAAAAAACAATATAAAATGACATGTCTTGTTCTAACATAACCAAACTTCAAGAATCCTTTGCAAAAAATGACACGAAGTGCAC